ATCAAATTGTATCAGATTACTCTTTTTTTCCTCTTCTTTCTTCTTCTGGTTGAGCTCTGATCATCCAGTCATTGAAGTCAGGTCAAGTGGGTATTATCTGCAAGTGTGGGTATTCTTGTGCATATGCCCTCTCTTTTTATCAGCTGAACGCTTCACTCTCCACATTGTAGGGCTTAGCTCGCTGCTTCATTGCTGATTTTCTTTCACTTCCCCTTATCGGTGACGCCTGTGGTCACCAATCAGAGCGTTTATTCCCATTGAGTCTTATTCTTGGAAGGGGATATGTACTGAGGGGACTGACCACTTGCCTTGATGTTTCCTGGGCAAGCAACTTGTTTGTTCTTGTAGTAACAGTCCACCTGCCTCTATTGTTTTGTATTTTTCTTGTATGTCTTTCTTTCAAGAAGTATCTTCTGTTCTTCTAGCCACTCCAGGCTGGTTTGCTCATCCTTTCAAGTAGAAATTTCCCATCTCTGGAGAGCTGGATGTGGTTCAGGCTTCTACCTATAGTCTTATGTATTTCAGAGGCTCCGCAGGAAGCCTCCTTCACTGGGTACATTGTTTTCTGTCTTTTTAATGACTTTTTTTAAAATGACCTTTTGATTTCTTCATGTACGATATCCTTGATGTCATCCACAATTTGTCTGATCTTTAGTCATTAGTGGTCAAATCTACTCTTAAGATGGTTTCTAAATTCAGGTGGGATATATTCACGGTTGTACTTTGGCTCTTGTGGATCTATTTTAATTTTCTTCAGCTTCAACTTGAACTTGCAAATTAGCAGTTGGTGGTCTGTCCTGCAGTAGGTCCTTGGCTTTGTGCTGACTGATGATATCGAGCTTTTCCCTTGTCTCTTTCCACATATGTAGTCAATTTGAGGGCAGATTTATATACCATTAAAGGGAAGTATGAATTGTCTATAAGGATGTCCTGTTACTAGTAAGTCCTGGTGACTTACTATATTTAAATGGCAGTAAGTGTTAAAAAGGAAAAGTATGGCACTTTCCATAGGATGGGGGCTGTTGTCTGTGCAGTGGAACTATGTTTCCAGTGACCATTCAGGGTCTCCTCGGTGGGGTCTGAGAAGCCAGGACTGAGGCGCAGCAGTGTCCTGGTGCATCACTGCAATTCCAGAATGATGTGGGTGGTACTGGAGGTGCTGCAGGAAGAGGAGCAGCATCACAGCAACTTAGTGGTGACCATCAAGCAGTACATTCTGCAAAAGCACCTGACGGTGAGCATCAGCTGGCTCAACTATCAGCTGAAGCCAAGGGCATCAACCAGGGCCTTTACATCTGGCCGCTCAACTCCAAGGCCAAGGGGAGGCACCGGCAGCTTCAAATTAAGTTTCCAAGAAAAAAAAAAGGATAATCCAACCCAAAATAACATCCATTACCACGGAATTTTGAGTTTTGTTCTACATATTCTGCCACTCTATCTGGGATCTTCTAATACAATTCCATTCAGAGTAGTTGGCAGTAGTAGTAGTAGGCACCATCTAGTTCTTCTGGTCTCAGAGTTGTGGAGACTGATGTTCAAATGTGAACATCAGTTAATTTCAAGCCTTTTCAATCCTCATCACTCTTCTTTCTTCTGCATGTGGAGAGACTAATAGCTGCACCTTACATTGGTGTGGTGCTGTGGGTTAATGCACTGGACTGCAAGTTCGGTTTGAACCACAAGGTCGGTGGTTCAAGCTCATCAACTGTTTCTTGGAATCCCTATACAGGATTGCTATGGAGTGGAATGGACTTGATGGCACTTACCAACAACAATCATGGCCACCAAGAAACCCAATGAGGTCAAGGACCCCAAGAAACCTGGGAAGGTAAAGAAGCCAGGAAAAGGCACCCAAGAGAGGTGGTGAGGCCAAACCAGAGGAAGCCCCAAAGGCCCTTCCCTATGCTGTTGGCCTCAGTGGGAAGCCAGCAGTCAAAGGCAGCAGCCCTGGTCCTTTTCCAGTGGATGCTGAGGCTCCCAAGCAAACAAACTCTGGGAGTAAGAGTTCCAAAGCCAAGGCCATCAAGGACAAAAATGGGGCTACTTTCCCAGCAAAAAAAAAAAAAAAAAAAAAAAAGGCAGTAGTCAAGGTGCCTAAAGAGGCAACTGTACTGGGACTGGAAAGTAGCAAAAAACCAAAGCAGCACCTCCACCCAAGACCGAGAGCACCCCTGTGCACTTGGCCAGGAAGATGGAGGCCTCAAGAACTGAGAAGGCCTGGGCTGCTTGCCAAGGCCTCTTTGCCTAAAGTGTTCATCAAAAAGGCAAAAATTGAGATGAGAGCTAGAGGCTGAAATGGAGGCTGAGACTCACCTGGAGTACTTATTCCTCAACACACCATCACTCTATTGAATCACAACCAAGGAAACAGAACCAAGCATCATTCAGCTTGATGTTGGCCAAGGTGTTAATCAGTTCAGAACAGCTAAGCTTTAAAGAAAAGCTGGGGACAGACCCAGACACCAAGGCTTTCTCACACAGACCTAGCATATAGCATATAGCATTCCAGAAGAAAAGGCAAGGATACAAGGTCAAAAAAAGTTGGTTTTTTTTTTTTTTTAACTCTCACACACACACACAAATGGAAAATTATGACTCAATCATGTCCTTGATGGGTACATCTTGCTTTTCTTCTGGTACTAGGAACATCTTGTCAATGTAAGGAACAACAACCTAAAAGGTCTAGAAGAGTAAGCTACAGTTCTCTCAGTTGGTAATACCTCCCAGGACTCAGAAAATTGTCAAAAAGTTCACTACATTTTTGCAGGGCACTGATTGCCCCTTCCACTGTGGCAGCCAGTTGGATAATTGTAACCACTGATTCTCTACAGAGAAAGTTGGCAGCCTCATGCTGGGCATTCATTTACCTGTTCCCTACCCACAATGAGCCTGTCCAGGTAAGCTTCTGACTGTGCAGTCAGTCCCTATGTTAGCTCTCTGTTACTGGCCATTTCTGTACAAACAGTATGGGCTTACATGCAGTAGCTATGCCTCATTTGCTGATCTGGTGGTTAGTTAGGCAAAGACCCATTTTCATCAAGCTTAGAGGAAGAGGCAATGAGTCACTTCATAGGTTTTGAGAGATATCCCTGCACACTTGTAGAAGGTGCTAGAAGCGTTGTCTCTGGTGAAACCCTGAAAACAGCAAAAGTAAATATGCTGCCAAAATGGTCACCTATGTCATGAGAAAGTGACAACATTAACAATATGAAGTAGCATAATGGCAAAGGTCTATTCCATGTAGCTTTGCCAGCAGTGCTTTTTAACCCAGTCTCAAAGTTCTTTGCTGTTGTTGCAAGACTAGTTTTTCTCTGCTCCTCACTGTAAGTCAAATTTTTACTGAAAGTAAAAAAAATGATAATAGTAGGAAAGAAAACAATTCTGAAAAGGCAGTCAACACTTTGAAAAAAAAGCAAACTCATCATCATTCTTTTCCTTTTTGGATTTTCTTCTGGAAGCTTCTTTATCAAATTTCTACTCAATTATTTTTGTCATTAAGGATAGGCACAATACTATATATACTATGACTCTGTGAGAAAGCTTGGCATCTGGGCCTATACCGAGCTTTTCTTTAATGCTTAGCTATTTTGAACTGGTCACATCAAGTTGAATGATGCTTAGTTCTGTTTCATTGGTTGCTTATTAAGGGATGGGTTCAGGGGAGACGATAGGGAGGAAGGACTTAAAAAAATAATCTTCAAGTCTTGATCATTCAAAGTTACTACTGTCAGGGTTTTACTTGTGTGGGGGTAGGCAGGTACTTTAAAGTGCTGAATTGGGCAGAAGCTGTCTACTCAGCAAAATTTGCAACCTGCAGCTGTGAGCAGAACATGTCTTCTTAAGTTTTGGGTTCTTCCTAAACCTGAATTAAAATGTCATCATTCTGAATGCATGGATTTATGCAGCTTGTTTTAGAACTCTGACCACACTTGTACCATATCCTAATGTGAAATCTGCTTTGAAACACTTTCTCATCCCAGAATGGGGCTATAAGGGAGGCTCTTTGATGATGTAGTGAACTGGATACAAGGTCCAGACAACTTTAGAAATTAATGTCTGAAGTTGTCCTGTCCTTATATCAGGTTGACAACGCTGATCTGATAGAGGTCATGAAGCATTAAGTCCCTTTAGTCACCTCAACTCCAAGTAACAAGGAGAACATTAACATGGGATTCAGTCCAGAATTTTAAGGTGACCTCCCCAAACTATATGCTTGCATGCATTTGCTTGAGATCAGAGCTCTACAGACTCTGATACTTGCATTACATGAAGTAATGTGATGACTTACTGGTGAGAAAAGGTATTCAGTCCTTTCAATATGTAATAACTATGGTGACCTGCTTGTAAAGCAGCTCAGGAGACGAAATATTAGTGACATACAATTACATAGCACCTTGGCTAGTCCTCTGCTTTCTTGGCCCATTCACATTTTGAGGTTTGGACATTAATTGAATCTCTACTTTGCTTAAGCTGCATGCTCAATTTTACATTAACAGTACAAGAAAGAGTATGGGTAGTTGATGGAGTTTGAATGACGCACGAGAAAATTCTGGTTGTGTAACTTTGGACAAGAGACTTTATAGACTTCAATTTCCCTGTCTGAAAACGAGGGCTAATACAATGTATATATCTTAAGTGTAAAATGAAGACTAGAGTCCTGGTGTGGTACTGTAGGATAAGCACTATACTGCTGATTTTAGGTTTTGGTGGTTCAAACCCACTAACCACTCTTCAGAAACCCTATACAAGGCCGCTATGGGTTGGAACCTACTTGACGACACTTAATAAGAACAACAGTATGAAAACTAATTAAAAGGAAATAACATCTGCAACACAATCTGTTATACAAGTAACCAAGAAGTTGATATTTACATTGTTAAAATAATATCAGGGTACACACAAAAAAGATGATGTTTCTTTTCTAACCAAGTTGACTTTCGAAGTGTACATAGTTTCAGTTAACATTTGTGGAAATTGACTTCATTCACCCCAAATTAAAATAGGAACACATAGTTATCTCACCTTAGTTGCTTCGTTGATGATTTGGAAGTTTGTGCTGTCTTTGCCTATTCTGACAGAGTCTAGTAAGGCCCGGTAGGTGGATTTCTTGGAGAGCTGTTTTTTCTGACGCCTATAGATATTAAGTGTACAGATGTTTGAGAATGATTTGTGACAGTCAGCATCTAATAGGCTATATTATCATATGGAAGTCATATTAAAGTGGAATATGGTAAGTGAATTGGTCACAAACGTTGTTGGCAGTTGTTGAGTCACCCCTGATTCATAGTGACCCCATGTATCATAGGACTGGACCAGTGATTCATAGAGCTTTCATTGGCTTGTTTTTTGGAAGTATATGGCCAGGCCTTTCTTAGGCCTTGCTAGTCTATCTTAGTCTAGAAGCTAAACTGAAACCTGTTCAGTATCACAGTAATACACAAGCCTTCTCTGACAGACAAGAGGTGGCTAGGCATGAGATACATTAGCCATAAACTGAACACTGGTTTGTGAGGAAGGTGAGAATTCAACCACTGAGACACCAGTGCCCCTCTGATTATTTCTAGTACTCTAATTCCTGGTGTGGTGCTGTGGGTTAATGTAGTAGACTGAAAAGTTCGTTTGAACCGCAAGGTTGGCGGTTCAAGCTCAGCAGTTGCTCCTCAGAAACCCTACACAGGGTTGCTATAGGTCAGAACTGACTTGATGACACTTATCAACAGTCAAGTATTAATAATTATTTTTTAGCGAACTAATAAAGAAGTAAGGAGCTCTGGTAGCACAGTGGTTATGAACCAGGCTGCTAACCTCAGGGTCAGCAGTTTGAAATTACCAGCTGTTCCGCAGGAGAAAGATGAAGCCCTGGAAACCCTGTACAGCATCGCTATGAGTCGGAACTGACTCCACGGCCACCACCACCACCAATAAAGAAGTACTAATGCAGTCATTCTTACAACAACAACAATGCAGTTATTCACACAATATTGCTTGAGGATGATATCTTGTCTATTTTATTGAAGAGGGGCAATTTTCATAGTTGACATTTCTGTGTTTATTAATATCCCTCCTTCTTTCCAAGAAATGAACCCTAATAGTAAATATATTTGAGTGGAAATCCAACACATTCTAGTGGTTTAACAAGGTAATCTGGCATTCACTGTAGAATTCCCTCTAAGGCACCTGTTCAGAATTAAAATAAAATTTCCTTCTTTCAGAGCAGAGTAAAAACATTAGAAAGTTATAATATATAAAGCAGCTTTTGATGATTATAGCTTTTCATATCATATAAAGTCACTTAAAAAATTAAAAAAAAACAAACAACTTATTTTGAGACTCTAGGGAAACGGGCAGTCAAAAATGGTGATGGAAGTGCAAAATAGTACCTATGGAGGAAAGTCTGTTAGCATTTAAGAACATTTCAAATGCATTGGCTTTTTGATCCATTAATCTCACTCCTGGTAATCTATCCTATATATAGGCCTGCATGCAATGACATATGTATAAATCTTCATTATGGTAGTGCAAAAGACTGAAAACCCAAGGGAAATTACAGTACATCTATGTTGCTGTTGTTGTTGTTGTTAGATGCCATCAAGTTGGTACCTACTCATAGCGACCTTATGCATAGCAGAAAGAAACACTGCCTGATCCTGGGCCAGCCTCACTATTGTTGCCATGCCTGAGTCCACTGAGGCTGCCACTTTGCCAATCCATCTCATTGGCGGTCTTCCTCTTTTTCTCTGGCCCTCCACCTTACCAAACATGATATCCTTCTCTAGCAACTGGTCCCTCCTGACAATATGTCCCAAGTATGAGCGACTAAGTCTGGCCATCTTGGCCTCCAAGGAGCCCTCTGGCTGCACTTCTTCCAACACAGATCTGTTGGTTCTTCTGGTAGCCCATGGCACTTTGAATATTCTCCTCCAACGCCGTAACTCAAAAGCATCAATTCTTCTACGGTCTTCCTTATTCACTGTCCAGCTTTCACATGCACATGAGGTTATTGAAAATACCATGGCTTGGGTCAGGCGCACCTTAGTCTTCAAGTTCACATCTTTGCACTTCAACACTTTGAAAAGGTCTTGTGCAGCAGATTTGCCTAATGCAATA